GACCAGCCCATGATTGTGGAGAGCCTGGTAGCGACAAAGGGGGAAGAAAGGATTTCCCTCTTTAACAAGGTAGGTCCACCCCCTGCCCCCACCCCCCGGCCTCCGGGCCTTTTTCCTCCATTGGCCCGGCCTTCCCTTTTCCTTCTTCCTTTTTCTCTCCCTCCTCTCCTCCTCGCCCCCCCCCCCTTCCTCTCCTCTCAATTGCCCCCTCCTCACCCTCTCATTCTTCCCTCCTTCTCTTCCTTCCCTCCCTCCCTGCTCTCCTCTCTCTTCCTCCCTCTCTCTCTTCCCCTCTCCTAACTTCTCTCCCTCTCCCTCTCTTCCCGTCTCTCCCTCTCTCCTCTCGCTCTCCTCTTCTCCTAACTGTCAACCCGAAGGTCATCGACTCCAAGAGGTGCACCTTCCTTGACCTACAGAAGATCTAAAAGTTCGCCGACCTGTCGGGACTTGTGTGCGAGTAGATGATAGTGTAAACATGAGACATCCAACCCCAACACTTGTAGAGTTTGTCCAACACAACAACACCAAGACGTGCATCCGTTGCTGACTGTTGTTGATGATATGGTTGTTTCTTGCTGATTGTTCTCAAACGATACTTTGCATCTCCCATCTACTCTACACTCCTGGTGGTTGGGTCTTGCGAAAAGGAATTTTAGACTTCCCGATGATTGCTGTGAGAAAAGAACTACATGTCAAAGAGTGAAGTGGGTGAAGAAGAGAAGGAGGGAGAGGAGGAGGAGGAAGAGAAGGGGGAGAACGATGAGGAGGAGGAGGAGGAGGAAGAGAAGGGGGGGAACGAGGAGGAGGAGGAGGAGGAGGAGCAAGAGAAGGGGAAAACGAGGAGGAGGAGGAGGAGGAGAGCGGCAGCACCTGCTTCCATCCATGAGACCATCGATCCCTGCTCACGATAAAAAATCTACGAAATGGCAGTTATATGCGGCACAAGGAGGAGGGAGAGGGAGAAAGAAAAGGTGGGACGGTCGAAGGCGAGAGTGTGGAGAGGGGCAAGCGAGGACGACAAGGAGCAGGGAGAGGAGATAGCTAGACAGGAAGGAAACAAGATGGAGAGGGAAAAGGAGGGGAGATGGGGCGACATCACTTTAGGGTCCTTATTAATACGATCTTTCCAGTTGTCAGAGAAATTGGGCCTGTTTGTTCAACGTGAGGATACAGATGAGGAGGAGGATGTAGTGGAGGAGGACGAGGACGAGGAAGTGGAGGAGGCAGAGGAAAAGGAGTAGGAGTGAAAGGAGGAGCAGGAGGACAAGGAGGAGGGGATAAGAGATGTTGCAATCACTAACCGAAAGGGATGTGTGATGTCGAGAAACTCCGTCACTCCCTTCCTCCTGTTAAAAGCCTTCTTGTCGTACATGTTGGTCTCTGCAGAAGACATGTAGTTTCCTGCAGGCTTCGACGGATCGCCTGGCATCCCAAGTGTCATTCCCTGCCATCCTCTCCTCTTCTCCTCGTCATTCCTGTTCCCCCTCCTTCAGTCCCTTACAATACCCAATGCCTCTCTCCCCCATTCTTTCAGTCTCTCTCTTCCTACCTCTCTCACTCTCTCACTCTCCCGTCCTACCTCTCGCTCTTCCTATCTCCCCCTCTTGCCATCTCCCCCCGTCTCTCCACCTCCTTCCCCACCTTTCTTTATGATCAGGTCGACATCCTGGTGGGCTCTAACAAGCGTGTCCTTCTTCACTTGCAGTATCTCCATGCGATCATGGGTGAGAGGGTTGTACAACGACGACAGTCTGTTGTGATTCATCGGCACCCAGCGATCGGGCTCTTGCTCCGGCCGTGTCGTGGGGACTTTTGTTTCAGGAGGAGGGTGATATGCAGCAAGGGGGTCGTTCCGGACTCCGCTCATTGCTGTCTCGAAGATCTGCAGGCCTGTCAGACAAGACGGGAGCGCAGCAAGCTCGTCGTGCCTTGGCGTGCGTCTTGGTCCGGTCCGAGGGAGCTTCCTTAGGATCGTATCGCTGTTGCACACTGTGAGGAGGAGGAGGATGATGAGGGGAAGGACGAGCAGGAGCAGAAGGAGGAGGAGGAGGGAGCAGAAGCAGGACGAGAAGGAGAGCAGGAGCAGGAGCAGGAGCAGAAGGAGGAGGAGGGGAAGGAGCAGGAGGAGCGATCTCCATCCTCTCGTCTCACCTCATAGGTCATGGTTCGTCGGAAAGGAGCGTTGGGCCCCCCTAGAGTCGTTGTTTGCAGAGGCTGCATTTCTATATCAGCTCCTCCTCCTATTCTCCTCTTCTCTCCCCTTTTACCTTGTCCGACGAGACATGGTAGGAATGATTCGGAGGTCTGCATCCTATATGTCCAACTTCAGCTCGCTGAGGACCGCACCAACGTCCCACCTGTCATGTTGACAGGCTTGATCGCATCCTTTCCTATCCACGACTTCCACGATCCTTGTGAACACAAATCATCGACTGGCATGCAGAAACTACCGCACAAGCCATACCAGCCCAGTCAACTCCAGGTCCTGTCATGCCGAATCCCGGTCGCCCTCCTGCTCGAAAGGTTCAGATCGCGCTAGGACGCGCTGCGAGGAGCAGACCGTAAGTCTGTCGAGCGGTCCTCTTTGCTCCCATCGCTGACTAGGTTGAATACAGCAGCTTAGAAGTTCTGTGCGAACCAAGGTAAGCTACAGCAGCGAGTTGCTTTACATGTGCTGATGCAGAACAACAAAAAAAAGGAGATACAGAAGAAGGGAAAGTACAGAAGCAGGGAGGAAGAGAGCAGGTGCTTGCTGCTTGTTGGAACTTTTCAAGTTTTAGCTCGGTTAAGATTTTGCATTTCACCATGAAAAACAAAGGCGATCTCCCCTGTGCGTCTATCATCTAGCGGTGTAATGCTCTGACGAGACAACCTTGAGGCGAATGCTTGCATCGAGGCATCACAGGAATACGAGGGTTCGACTCACTGTTCTCTCGCATATGAGTGCGAACCTCGGAATCTTCCTGGTTCTTTTGCGTGCCTCTCATCTACCCTCTCTCTTGATACCAATCTGATTCCACTCACTCTCTACACTATCCTTCCTCTCCTCCTCTCCTCCTCTCCTCCTCTCCTCCTCTCCTCCTCTCCTCCTCTCCTCCTCTCCTCCTCTCCTCCTCTCCTCCTCTCCTCCTCTCCTCCTCTCCTCCTCTCCTCCTCTCCTCCTCTCCTCCTCTCCTCCTCTTCGCTGCTCTCCTTCACTATCGCATGCTGCTCAACCGCCACAGGTTTTACTCAACTTTGGGCCAGGCAGAGACCGTAGCGAGGGCCGGGCCCTGTCAGAACGGCGGCGGCGCCCGGCCCGGTGCCGGGATCCGAGCCGGCACCGTCACGGTCGGACGGCCGGCGTCTGGCGAGCGCGCTGGGGCGGCGGCGCCGGGGCCCGGCGGCTCAGACGTTCGTTACGGTCCCGCATCCGGACTGCCCGTCACAGAGTCACAGGCGGCTACTATCATGCTTTCCCAGCACTGGAAGCCTGACTCAGTCAGTCTGACCGGGTGCCCGGGCCCGGACCAGTGTCACAGAGTCGGCACGGATCGGACGGTGGCACCGCCGTGCCCGCCCCGCGGGGCACTGTGACCGCGGGGGCCGTCGGACGGTCCGATCATCAGTCACTGTGCAAATAAGTCACTTCACAGCCTGTCTGGCAAGTTACTTCACTCCGTGACTGAGCCGGCACCGTGACGGTACGGTAATATTACTAAGTTGCCGCCGCGGCAACTTAGTAATAGAGCAGCTTTGGTGCTACGTGCCGGCGTGTAGGGGAGACATGAGTCGGGCGTGTACGATGTTGAAAACATTTCAACCCTCTGAAATGAAATTTAAAATACATGTAAAGGCCTAGCAGAAATGATAACTAAACTGCACTGGTACTCTTTGGAGGTATCTCTTGCTGCCGTTGAAAACTTGTTTGAATTCACACGCCACCCCAAAAAAACTTTCTCGAAAAGAAGAGTGGAAATTAACGAAAGGGCTAAAAGTGAACGGCATGACTGTGGCAATCCGTGACGGTACCGCCGGAGGACAATCAGGAGAACGGTAGAGGAGGCTTGACCCTGACACTGTCGCACAGGCCAGACGGCGAAAAAAGAGAAAAGACAGCGAGAACTAACCGGGCCTCCGAGTTCCTGCCGACTGCCGCTGTGAGTCCCCAAACTTAACGGCAGTCGGACATCACAGTGGCTGTACGATCACGGTAACTTCCGAACTTCACGAATGCCACGGTGGACGAGCTTCCGTCCAGCCGCTGAGGGCGGCACTGCTTTTTCAGTCGGAGCAGCCTCTCGGAATTCGAGTCCGATCGCAGGATGGCAGACTCAGGCTCCCGTGACTACTCACTGTTGGTACTGAACTCCTCAACACAGTGACACTCAGTCCTAGCAATCACAACTGAGCGATCATGGGATGAACAACTGGCGAGATTCCATCGAAGGTTACAAGCGCACACGAGCATACAGGAAGGTAGCCTCCGCTGACAGAGCTCGTCTCCGGGATGTGATCAATCACAGATGACGTTGACACCTTCGGCTGAATGCACTTGGAGCCTGAAAGGATGGAAGGGCGGTCGGAAGAAAGACCCGACGTTGCTCTGTTTTTTCGTTTTCCAGTCATGTCCGAAACAAGTCCAACTGCACAGATACAGTATGTTGTTCTGATGTTTATTACTTGACAGATCCATACATTAGACACTAAGGGTCTGTTGACAGAAGAGACAATGTCTTGCGGTATTTCATCCTCTGCCAGTTTTGTGACCAAGTAGACAAAATCAAAATTCCTGCGTGATCTTTTTAATCGGTTGAAGTGAAAACTATCTGCGAATAAGTTTCATTTGCATGTCTCATAACAAGCGTACAGTGTTCACTCTTGTAGATCTGCATGAAGTGTGTGCTAATGGAGTGAGGTTCGATACCATGCTTGCAACATGCAGATATATGTAAACGAAGCATGCTCCTAACGATGAGCCCCTCAAGAAATCTCCACCTCCTTTCACAAACCTCACAAAAGGATCCCGAGAAAGGCATCGCTTTTGGAAAGCAACGAAAACCAAGTTGACAGCTTGCTAGGTGGACGACGGGCAGCTAATAACTCTCAGATGGCACTTGGCAGCAGATCAATCTGATACTTATGGATTTGGTCCATCGCTTCAAGGGCAACGAGTTGGTTCAAGATCTCACGAGATCCATCATGCCATAACCATTCTTCAGATTGCCACCGCTTTCCTCCCGACCCTGCCCCAACCTTGCCAACTCGTAGATCGATCGATTTCAGCTCTGCGAATGGTCGCCAAGGGCAACTATGTTGTTGAAAACCATTCACCTAAGTGGAAACTATCATTTTCGCCTACTTCTGTACCATTCGTATCTCCCCCTCCCCCCGCCCCCCCCTCACATCAGTGATGGACATCTCTCCTATTAGACCACAACTCCCTCCTCCTTCTTCTATTTCCTCCTCCCCTCATTTCCTCCGGCGCTCCGACGTCCATCAATTCCTCTGCTCCAGCATGTCGCTCCGCTCCCGGAGTCTCTCGACTGGCATTTCCGAGGGAACTCGTTTCTTTTTTTTTCAGGAGGTGCGTGACCCATGTGCCTGAGATCGCAACCCCGCGTGACTGAAAGGAGAAGAGGCCACCTAAAACTGTTTTATTTGTACCAGTCTTTACAAAGTCCAGGAAATACCTACTGCGTTAAAACCCCGTGACCTTGAGATTCATAGGGCGGAAGGTTTTTCTTTCTTTCTTTTTTTTTGTCGAGGGCAGATTGTTTCTGAGGTTTCAAAAGGTGGAAGATGGGGTGGGGAGTGAAAGGGGTGGGGGTACATATGATTAGGGTTTTGAGGTAATGAAGAGGGTACAAGCATTATTAATAAAAGTTCCAGGGGGGGTGAAGTTGATCAGCAAGGGGGTGCTGGGGGGAGGGGACCATAAATAAACATGTTACAGGTATCGTGTGATCGCTGACAAAGATATGAACGAGGTCGACTCGTGACCGAATGAAATCGAGACCTTCAGCACTTTTTCAGTGCGTGTAAGTTCCAAAGGATGCGAATTGCATATATCCCAAGATAACAACATTTTTATGTATGGCCCTTTAAATACTTTTTGAGAGCATGCTCGTGACCGCTTTTACTATTTGGTAAAGCGTACACTGCGGATTGAAGAGCCCAGGGTAGGGTGGATGGAAGGGGTAGGGGAGAAAATGCTGGCCCTGTTTATAGGGAACAGCACTAGAAGGGAGGGGTGGTCTGGTACTGGCGAAAAGGGCAGATGCCTGCCTTTTAGTCCAATGAAAGGGTGGTTAGAGAGATGTTGAGGGAGGGGTGGGATACGCAGTGACTGCCTGGAATAATTGTGGTGGGTAGTAATGAAACTGCTAGTTTGACGGTGGCACGGTCAGTAAAGGGAGACCTTCTCGGAGAACAGGCTGAAACTGCTAGTATTGGATTTATAAAAGATTTTTGGGGAGACGGGTCGCAGCGAGGGGTCGCTTCATGTGAAAGTCACGAGGGATTTTTAAAATTTGGGTTTTTACCATTTAAAAGCACAGAAATAAAGATTTTAAAGGATGATTGAGATTTTAAAGGGTGCCGTATCTGTTTAAAACATTTGTTCAATTATATGAAAAGCTCCTTTTTCGACTTCCACCTCGATCCGGCCGCGGACCTCAAGTGGAAGGCGCACGATGGTATAGATAATGAAGAAGACAATTGCGGCGACTGGAAGGGTGCGAGAATACAAAGAATGCTTCGTTGGAATGCAGCGATGCGGCAATGCTTAGTTGATGCGCATTGAACAGCAAGTTTCAAACAACTCGCCTTGACTTTGTGTCTCCAAGAGCAAGGAGTCCTCGAAAGATTTCGAGATGTCGGGACACCAGGATTCTAAAACCCCGCATCTCCCTCAAGAAATAGTCAAGAATATCAGCAGTGGGCTGTCGGCAAACGCGCTTCTAGCCCTTCAAAGGAGTCAAGAGGCGATATCCACCCTGTCTGGTATGGAAAAGGCAGCAACAACTGCTCCGATGGCCACCGTACCACCCCAAGTCCCTTCGTTGACGGATATGGGGATCTCGGGTTTGCTGCAAGCAACACGGTTTCCAAATCTTGCACCACAGAACTTCTTCCTCAACCCGACTGCCCCTCCTCTCCATCCTGTGCAGATCGTTCCCTACCTTGCAAGCCCTCAGGTGAGCGCGCTGCAGTCCAACCAGCTCTCGGAGCTCCGGCAGCAACAGGAAGATCAAGGGAGGAGACAGATGCTTAACCTCAACTTCGCGCCGAGCAGCCCGAATGTAATTGAGCAGAGGCTCAGGGACTTCTTTCAACTGCAGATCTCTACTGGAAAGATCAGGGCAGACAATGGAATAATTCTGCTCCAAGAAAGCTTTCCGGACGGGACAAGGACCTTCTGGAGAGCAATCAAAGAGACAGTTTTTCAGCCGGTCTATGGCGAGAATGTCGGCTATGGTCAGATTCTGCAGTCGTTGAGACAGAGTCTTAACATCACGTATGAAGGTGAAGGCACAGTGCCGTTCAGTGAGAAAGTCACCGTCCTCAGACCGATCCCGATGGTCAAGCAGGAGGAAAGGAGCGTCGAAAACCAACATCGTGTTCAATCTATGTCCCATAGTTCATCCCCTGCCCCTACGCGAAGGAAGAGGGGGAGGCCTTCTTTGGAATCTCAGAACAAACCCCCTGGATCCTGTTCTCGGCTTCCTCCCAGTCTTGTCTGTCCTCCATGTAAAGTTTTGCACTGGAGATGTGGTGTTCGATGTGTGTTTTCTGAAGAGAATGGTGAGATGTATGTACCAAGAGACGAGCGCCATGCCCTGGCCAAGTATCTGAAGCGGAAGAAAGATGGAGGACAAGTCATTGGGAAAAGGGCGATAGCGACTTGGATCGCGAGCATGAGGAGCTCGGCAGCTCGCATGGAGGACTCTGAGGGCAGTCAGGGTAAGGAGAGTGATACGCTTCTGTCTAGCATTGATGTTGTCGCCCCGAACTCCCTCAAGAAGCAGGCGCTGTACAAGGAAAAGTTTGGGAACATGTTTCGAATCGGTTGTGTCTGTGGGAATGCGGCGATGAGAAGCATGCTGGAAGAAGTCTCGTCAGGCCTCAAGGAGTCAGAAGCCGTCAGCACTGAGTGCGAGTCAGGGCCCACTGACGGCCATGTTGCTGCAAGTACCAGCTGGACAGTTCCTTGGCCAGCCGACAAGAAGGTGGATCTACCCGAGGAGAAGTCGACAAGGAAAGAGCTCGAATTTCAGGGAGGGAGAACGGGTCTACCAGTCTTGAAGTCAGTCCAAGACCTGATAGAGTCTGTCGTCAAGACGATGGGGTTTGCTGGGAAGGAAGCTAGCTGTGCGACAGTTGAGTTCCTCTCCTTGCAGCGAAGCTCGGGCGACCAAATCATGCTTCACAAGGCAGCCCAGGTGGCTGAGATGACCACGGCCTCGCTGGTCATGCAGGATGCCTGGGTGATCGTCGCACCGGCTGAAGCTGCTGCTGAGGAGGAGGAAGGCCGATGGGTCTTGACGAAGCCTGAGCTTGCTATCCGCTTTCGAGTCCGATCGGGGGAAGTATGGGGGATTTCTTCAGGCATGCAGGAGCAGATGCAGGCAACGAGCTCTTCGACTACCTATTCTCGAGGACATCTTTTCTTTGCTGTAATGCCGCCTTCAGAGGGAAGAGGGCTAGACTCCGACGATACAGCAAGGTTTGACAAGGATGACGATGACGAAGAAAGCGAAGAGCAGGCAGAGTGGAGCGATCAACAGAAGTCGTCGAACAACCCGACATCTTGGACAGAGGATCTGCAACGTGCGTGTTACTCTTGCCTTCGGCTTCGTCTGTATGACATGTGAAAGGGAATTGTTGTAGTTTAGGATACATCTTGCCCGGTGACTTGTGTAGGCTCAATCGTTCAGCGTTTCTTCAACCAATCTGACGGTCATCTCCTCACCATCTCACAAAGTTCTCTCAACTCCCAGGCTTAGTCGGAACCAGAAGAAATTCAGTCGTGGTCCGAATCTTCTTATCTCACTGTGTCACTGTGCTTTCACTCTGATGAATTCTTAAATATTCGGCAATAAACTCAGCCTGCCACTGACCGGCTTCACGGCCCCCGACTGACTCGGAGGACGAGTCTCGGAGCCTTTCCGAAGGCTAAGCCTGAGCCCCGCAGGCTCAGCTTTCAAGTTTTACTCAAAGTTAAGCTTAGCTAACGGTTGCCGCACCGTGCACTGTGACGGTGCCGCAGTGCGGTCCGCCCTTACTGTGCCCTGGCACGGTGACCGTGCAGCGGCGGCTGACGTCCGATCGGAGTCCGATCGGACGGTCGCGGCCCTCAGGCCCGGTTTGGCAAGTTGATCGGACGGCCCGGGGGCACCGGGGGGGGCCGCCGGCCGCCGGCCGGCTGCGGGCGGTCCGATCCGATCATCGGATGTTCGGAGCCGCGTGAGCGGCGGCGCGGCGCCAACCGGGTGATCGGCACGGCCCGGCCCACTGCGGCCCGGGCCGCGGCCGGGTCACCGTCACCGGGACTGGCGGCCGGGTCGGGCCGCGTGCCGCTGTGCCGTCAACTGAGTTCCGGCGCCCGACCTAAAGCCGCCCGTGCCCTAGAAAGGACGGGTGAAATCGTTGACATCAGAGCTAGGGTGGGGTGGGCTGGCTTGGGTGGTACAGGAGATTGAGGGGGTGGTGATGAGTCTGATTCGTTCGAGAGAGAGGGGGTACTCACAATTGAGAAGGCAATTGTCTCGGGTACTGAGGGAGGTTGGGGTAGGGATGAGGGGTAGGGAACTACTTGGCGAGGATGGAGATTCCGCGTGAATGGTTGGAACGAATGGAAGGGTGGAAAGAGCGGAGTAATGCAGGGAGAAAAGATGCAGAAAGAACAGCGAACAGCGAACAGCGAACAGCGAACAGAGAACAGAGAACAGAGAACAGAGAACAGAGAACAGAGAACAGACAGAAGGCAACAGGGTACAGGGAACAGGGAACAGGGCACAGGGTGCAGGGTGCAGGGTGCAGGGAACAGGGAACAGAGAACAGGGTGCAGGGTGCAGGGAATCGAGAATAAAATTGGGAATGGAGAATGGAGAATGGAGAATGGAGAATGGAGAATGGAGAATGGAGAATGGAGAATGGAGAATGGAGAATGGAGAATGGAAGATATTTAACCCAGCAGATGAGGAAGTGAAGAGAGATGTTTAGATCCCAAGGCGGCGGGAGATCGCAACAAAGAGCAGTTGAAGCCGCAGGCAGGGTTAGAGATTGGCAGGAAAGGGTGAAAAGCAGCAATGGGGATACACATATAGGGCGATAAAAGAGGGATCCACGAGACTTTTGGAGAAGGGGGCGAGAATAGATAATTCAGGAACACCACATCCAAGATAAGGCTAGGGGAAGTAGCACCCAGCACGTTCTCATGGAGACATTACTGTCACTTGGACCACATGGGCACTTGATCCTGATCAAACGCAGGGTTGCTCATACGAACTTGCAGGATCGAATCTACTTCTTCACCTTTCATCGAGAGTGAAGGATGTCTGAGGTGAGGATCAAACTGGCATGCTGCGTTCAATGTACACTCTAACATAGCGGTCACCAACAGAGTAGCGGAAAGAATGACATGTGGAGCAACTATGGTATGGGTCTCACCCCCCAACAAGCTGCCGCGCTGCATGCACAAGCTGAAGCAGGTCTCCTTGGTTGAGTTTTAGGCGTCCATAATGAGATGCTTTGTGAAAACAGAAAGGCTGTATCAAGAACAACAAGCGAAAGCAGGTTCAATGATATTCTTGACTGGAATGTTTTTCTGAGTTTCTCGACAGCCCATGATCCTACTGTACAAGATGCTACGTGGGCGGCAGCAGCCTGGGCAGCTACTGCACCCTTGCACCAGGCAAGATGCACCCATGCGATGGCTGTAGCTCAGTTTTGACTATGGAGAAGGTTATTGAGAAGTTAGCTCCACACCTTAAGGGATACATCCCCGTATCCTCCGAGCCTTCCATTTACGATGCTCCTGCAATGCAAGGCGCTCAAATGGTATTCCTGCGTTCCCTCTTCGAAATCAGAGATTTCGATTGCTGTTTCTTTTTGTTTTATCTTTCTGCTGAAATCATCATGAGGGCAACGCCTTTGCGTGAGTCTTGTGCAAAGATGGATGAGTTAATTTTGCTTTGATCAATGCTATGTGACCTGCAGGCCTACAAACCTGGAGACCCAGTTTCGGTCCCGGGGCATCCGGATGGAACTTATAGCTTTGGTATGCCATTTGCCGGTGTGCTCTCACTCCATTTTTGATTTCGTGTTACATAGGGGGTTGGTACGGCCAACATCAATACTACATCGAGAACTCGACTGGCCTTACTGTGTGGGCATCTCAGTTCAACCAGGTATTCTCCCCGTTCAGCAACACGCAGATCTCTGTGCTGATCGTGACGTGTAGGGGGTTGCAAGGTCCACGCCCAGGGCTCCGGCAGCGAACCCCAAGATGATTGGAGCAGCCATCGCAGCAGCTGCCACCCAGGTTTGTTAGTTCCCATACCCCTACGTGTTGATGTCTTGTGCCATGACGTGTTCAAAATGTGCGCGGTTCTCGGATGCTCTCCGGGGATTCCGCTACAGGTTATTGTTGTCTTGTTTTCAAAACATGGTCCAATGCTGCAGAAGGACGTTTGTAAGAGAGTGTCGATGAAGGGTACTGAGTTGAGGTTTCCTGACATCTTCCCCTAACAGAGAATTATGAAGTCTGGGCCTGCTCCCACTCCAACTTGGACTCAGCCGGAGTATCAAGAGCCACCGAGCTATCAGACCATAAGCGCTGTTCCACCAGCTGCTGTTCCACCCGCTGCTGGTCTCTGTGGATGTGACACGATCGAAGCGTTTGCTCACTGCTAGATTCTAGTTTATACTCCCGTACCTTCTGCTCCGGCCGATTTCTCCAACTTTAAAGTTGGAGATCCCGTTTCTATTCCTGGTTATCCCGATGGCACCTTCACTTTCGGTGTGTGTTTCGTCCTCTTTGTTGTCATCTGTGACATGGCGAAAGGTGGATTTAGTGGAGAATACGCGTATTACATCAATACCACAAGTCAACAGTCAGTATGGGCGTCGCAGCTTCCTCCACCGCTCAAGGTTGCCATGCTGCCACTTTTACCCTGACAACGGGCTGTGAGATTCTTTTCTTTCGTCTCTAGGATGAGGAAACAGAGGAGCCGCCGATTCAAGAAACTCCAGCGAAAAGGCAGAAAATCGAATCAGTGAGTTGAGTCCTGAAAGCGCCTGAGAATGAATATCTAACTCCTGTTCGTTTCCAGACTGCTACGGATTCGAACGAAGACGGCCAGTCGAATATCCGTGTTTCTACAGTGCTTATCTGGGATTTGGACGAAACGTTGATCATTTTCAACTCGCTTCTCACTGGTTCTTTCATGCACAACAAAGAGGGCCTGTCAGCCGAAACCAGCAAAGCATTGTCAGGCCTTGCTGGCAAGCTTGAATCCCTGGTCTATCAAGTTGCTGAAGATAAACTGTTCTTCAAGTCGCTGGAAGGGAGAAATCGTTGGAACTTTGAAGCAGCTCTTTCTCACGATGATGGCCGAGACCTGACTAATTATGACTTCGACAACGATGGGCTACAAGGATTGCCTGGTGACAGCTCGAGCCAAAGGAAAGAGACTGCTGGCGACATGGTGAAGGCCTCGCTGAGGTACAGGCTTGTGCTTCAGAAGTATAAGCAAGCAAAGACTGGGGTGGATGGCTTGAAGAACGTGCTGGGAGACTCCGAGCTCTCGGGGGCAGAGGCTGCGATTGACGCCGTGAATTCGCTGACCGACAACTGGATGGCGACGGCAGAGGAACTGCTAGCCAAGATCTGGCAGTACGACACGTTGATCGAGCAGCTGTGCAAACGTGTTCCTCCGAATGCCGTGCCCGAGACAGAACCTGGAATGAAGTTCGTCAGGAAGAGCGGGGAAACCAACGCGTCCGAGGCTGAAACCATGAAGACGAACATCAATGTGACTGTTCGGTTGCAAACTCATCTGGAAACTGAGATGCGATCTTTCAGGTCTTGGTTACGAATGGAGAGCTGGTCCCGACCGTCGTGAAGCTCATGTTGTTTGGGTTGCACAGGTTTGAATTACTATGAGCCTCTTCGGTGTGATTGCCTTCCAGGCATTTTCATCCTTCCTGCATCTACTCCTCGCGAGAGGTCGGCAAACAGACGTGCTTCGCAGAGGTATGTGCTCATGGATGTCACTCAATGCCTCACTTGTTGTCCCCAGATTCTCAGGAGATTTTCGAACGCTCGTGAAATTGTGGCAATTGGAGATTCACAGGTCCATTGAGTGGTGGGATCTGATCGAAAACTGATGTGGGTGCAGGAGGAGGAGATTGCGGCAAAGAGCCTGGATTTCAGTTTTCTCAAGGTGTCAGACCCCAGCGACTTTAGAACAGTACAGGCTTTCTTGCAGTGATGAGTAAATGCGTCATATTTCATGTAGAACAAATGGACCATCAGTTCGTTCATGTTGCGTTGAATGTTTGACACAATGCCTCTTCACATCCATCAAATAAGACTGTTCTTATCTCGTATGTACAGAGAAATCTGTCCAAGTGTGTCATATTTTCAGTGGGCTCTGATCAGAGCATCGTCGTGTTGTGTGTTGTACCCAATGACCGTCACTGACCGACACCGAAGCACATCAGAAATAATGTTTTATTGATTTCGTGAGCTTAATTGTACAATTTCCATGCGTCTGATTTAGCACTCGGACTCGCTCTTGGAGACGGCAACAACCTGGACGGGAGAACCACCCCAGCGGGTGCCGACGGGGACCTTGAGCTGTTCGCACATCCAGGAGGTGAGCTCCATTCCGTCACGGCTCTGCTCAGCAGGGACGGGTTGCTGTGATAGAACAAGACGTCAACAAGAGCGTCAAGATGCAGAAAGCATGAGAAAACTTACGCTGAGGCGACCAATGGGCTGGTCAAGGGGGAGGTGCTGCCAGGGGTACACGGGCTGGGTAGCCTGGGTGGTTCCAACGGGAAGACCCTGGCCGTAGTAGGAGCCGGTGGCAGACGGGTTCATCATGCTGATAGTTCCGAACTGCTGGGCGCCGGGGAGGCCGGTGGTGGAGGGCATGGACTGAACGGCAGGAGAGGGCATGGCGACTTCCCGTCGTCTTCCGCGTGGGGCGTTATATATCCCGTCCACCCCCTGACCCTACCCCCTGGATCTAAAGACGTTGACTACCCTCTTTTTACCTCAGAATCACCCCCTCTTCTTACCTACCGAGTTCCTCAGGGTGGTAGCAGCACCCCTCAAAACTACACGAGCAGCCTGTACCCTCCGCCGTGGGGTTCTTCCAGGATCCTTCACCCCTCTATCCCCACAGATTTGGGAGGAAATTTCGGGGTGGGGTACTCATCTTGCATCAGTGATCCCTTGCAGCGTCAACCGAGGGTCACCACCCCACCTCCTTATTACCCATTTAAAGGTGTAAGGAGGGTACCGGATACTCACGAGAAGTACCCACCCCTCCAAATCACCGGACAGTTACATAACTCACCTATCGACCCACCCACCCCCCTCAGCCTCACCAATGGAGGTCGGTCATCATCGGCGGCGATCGGATCAGGTTCGATCACCCACCCCCACCCCTCCCACCTCCCAAGGCTGCCGATCGTTCGATAGAAGCTGTTCACCGCCGTGGGTGGGTACCTACTCGAGTCAGTGACTACCGGTACCCGACAGAGCACTGTGCCCTGCCGCGTACCCCCTCCCTAGAGCCTCCGCAGCTGCCCCAACGTATTTTTTCTAGATCCGTACCAGCACCCCCCCTCGTCCGAATTGATTCGGATCAAACCTGAGGTTCCGGCGATGATTGCCGTAGGTAGGACGGGGTCCTGTTACCCTCGGACTAGATTCAAATCGATTTGAACTTCCCAGTCGTGGTGAAATGACCGTTACGACTCGAGTTGGCCAGACCCCCGAGGAGTCTGGAGGGGTACTACTTTGGCAAAGCCTTGTGGCTAGTGCACCGTCACCCCTGAGTGTCAGCCTGAGGCCACTGAGGGCCCGGCCCCGGCGCGCGGCCCGGGGCCCGCCGCCCGCCGGGCCCGGGTCAGTGGGCCACCGGGGGCCGACGGCCGCCCCCGGCCGCCCGGCCGGTGGCAGTGGCCCGGCCGCGACTCGACCCGGCTGAGGCTCCGCCTGACGGAATACAAGTTTGTTAGACTTCAGGCTTGTACTAGTCCAAAGTCACGCAGATATCACATCGACGGCCTTAGTTGTAACAAGTGACGTTTTGCTCAAGACCGAATTGAATCACGCGGCACACAAAACCAGAATTGAGGAGCATATGAGAGATAGACTGAATGCTAGGATGTGGCTTGGTTTACAGGAGAGTTCAGTTTTTCAAGTTAACTCGGGGCTATCTGACTGGCACGGCTGGCATACGATTCATCGGCGAGGCTCAGCCGCTGCCATCGAGACTCGGGCCATCAATCATGATCAGAGGCTACCGGGTGACTCCGTCCGACGGTCTCTGGCCCGCCCGGCCCTGCGCGGCCCGAAGTGACTTCAACGTGACTCGAACCGTTGAACTGGCAGGCTGTGAGATCGGACGGACCGCCGGGCCCGGCCCCCTGCCGGCGGGCGCCGTACCAATCACTGCAGTACTGTACTCCGACAAACTTGTTTGTGGCAGCCTGTACTAAGCTTTACTCAAAGTTAAGTTAAAAACGTACTAGTCTGCCCGGTTCCCGGCGTTCACACTGTCCCCCACCGTCACAGGCAGATGGGGAATGGCCCACCCTAGTCTATGGCTGGAGGGGTAGATATATGGTCTTTGAGGGGTAGGGGTGGGCGACTTCTCTCCCCCGATAGGGCTTCTCTCCCCCGACAGTACATCTCCTCGTTCCCTCCACTCCCTCCTCCCCCACTCCCTCCCTTCATAAAGCAACCAGCGCTCTCCTGCTCCGACCTACCTCTGCGTATCCTTGTCCACAAGCTCGTTGTTGAACCCTTTCTATACCTATCCCTGTGCCCCACCTCACCAGCTTCTGCTCGCATACAAGGCTCTTGCTCTATCCTTACCATGTCGACTGAGCAAGCTGCGATAGCCAGCAGCTTCAACAAATATCTTGAAATCCTCGAAGAGAACTTCCCCAGGTAACCTCCATGCTCTCTTTTCAGCCTACATGCTTGCGAACGATTTCCGATGTCTCTGACACACTTTCTCCGTCTGCAGAGCTGTGCCAGAGAATGTCTTCATTGATCATGCCAACAAGGTGCTCAACAAACATGGCTTCACCTCCAAGACCTCCATCAACCTCGTCAGTCACTGCCGAGATGAGCTCTGTAGACCCTTCACTGAGGCCATCGATTCCAGCTGGGAGAAGCCGAGCTTCAACATCGCCTCTCTGGCAGGCATGGTGTACTGCGGACGGACTGGCTTCAAGTCTGCCATGGCACACGCCCCGATCATAGACGGGAAGGAACGCTACGTCATCTGGGTAGCGTCCCATGTAGCTTTGGGGGAGGGGGAGCCTGGCATGGTCTACCGTCCTGGGCGGGAACACGCATCTGCAGCATGCGGAGCGCTGCTTGCCGCCCTGAGAGAGATTCAGTCAGGAAAGCTCAACGTACAGCTCGATCCTACCGACCTTGAGATGTCTCTGCTGAAGCAGGAGCTCGTGGGCTACTTGCGGTATGGGCAGGTGCCGACGCTGGTGGAGCTGACGTATGCGGCACATGAGTGCATCCTGGCCGATGTGCAACGAACGGCCCAGCAGTCGGTGGACCGAGAGGCATGCGAGTACATCATCATCTCGGGGATACAGGTACATGGCGCTCATGAGAGCAACTTCTTCTGGCCAGGAACCTTCGTCAAGTACACGCCATCGGGGACGGAGGACCTTTACGAGGAGTACGCGGCGTCGGTTACGGACTGGACCATCAGCGACTGGGTGGATATGGAGTCTCTTGCTCTGCTGCAGAAGAAGGAGAGGGAGGCGAGGCTTGCTGTGAAGAGAGGCAATCTGAAGAGGTTGAGGAAAATGTCGCTTTCCCTCTCCAAGATCCGCGACAACATGCGACGGTCGTTGCTGCATGTCGCCGCCATGCACGGGAAGACGGAGATTGCCGAGTATCTCATCAAGTCGGTTGAGGACGGAGCGAGTCTGATCAGCCTGCAAGACAACCAGCACCTGACTCCGATGGACTATGCCGTGCAGTACGAGCATGACGAGATCGCAGAGCTGTTGATAGAGCAAGGAGGAGGGCTGGAGGGGGAGTGGCTAGAGGAGGAGCTTGTCAAGGCTGTCTCCAAGTGTGACCTCACTCACCTCAGCAGGCTCATGTGGTACGCTAAGGATATCCCGACGGCGATCAAGTCGAAGAACAAGGACGGCGAGTCGCTCGTGCACATCTGTGCAAACTCACGCGACACCAAGAGAGCGGACATGCTACAGCTGCTCCTGTCCTTCGGAGCAGACGCAAACATCGTCGACTTCTACGGCAACAACGCCGTGCTGGCCATCCAGGAGAGGCAGGACACGGAGCTCCTGGATGTTCTTGATAGCCCTCAAGTAACTCTGGACTTGTCCTTGGCGAGTGCGGAGCTGCAGGTAGGAGCTCTTGCGCAGTCGACGATGCCGGAGACTCGTGCTAAGCTGCTCGGCATTTCTGTGCCCTCCTCTCCTGAATTAATGCCTTCATGCAACCGGCCAGGCTGTGGGCCCGCGGAAAGCATCGTCGAGTAGTGGGAATTTCACTTGATAGAACAACCTGGACTGACAGTCATGGTGCTTGTCTCTGCTCTCCTCAGCCACGATGGAACACAGCTCGCATATCTGAAACTTCCTTCAAGGCTGTGAAGACTCTAACGCTAGTAGACTAGTAGATCGAACCTGTAACTAAGAATAAACTCAGTGACTTCATTTGAGTAGCCATAACAATCCGCCGGGACACCCCCGATCTGAGCTCACTGTCAATGCTCGCATAGCAGAGCCTGACCCATGTCGGTCGGACTATTAGAACTTGAGACCCCGACCGTGGTAGTGCTCAGCATGAGAGCGAAGATCGCACGAGAATCGACCCACGGATTCCTCCATGCGAACAAGTTCCGTGGGAGGCGGGATTTTTGATGTGCATGTATAGAAGAATTAGGATATCATGGAATTTGTTTCAAGGTGTACCATGTTGCTCCTCTAATGACAGCTCATCTCTCAGCGCTTCTCTGATGTTTGCGGTACATGGCATGTTACTTTGACAAGGTTGACTATGATCGGGTGACAACTGAGAGCAATATTTGTAGATTCACTTGACTCCCTTTCGTGACTTTTATTGCAAAATCCCAAACCGTTTACCGAAGACGACGTGCCTCACGCTCGGACTCAAGCAATACAAGGATGTCTCCTTCACGCACTGGCCCCTGCGATGCTGTGAGGGAGGGTCAAGGGCAAGAGAGCGGCACGGACCTTAACGTTGCGAATAATTGAACGATTTACATCGTCCAAGAACTCAACGCGGACCTGGGTTACTGTACCTCGCGAACCAGTGCGCCCCAACACGTTCTTAACCCTAGCCAGTTTCGGACGGGAATCAAGTTTATCCTGTCAACATCATCAGCGCCAAGATATGAGGCAGCACTGGCCGACGCTACGAGAGCCATCGAACATTCAATGACATCATGCCAATCGTCATGCACAAACTTTCAACTGCAGCACTTATGTTTGAGATATCAATTTGATAGAGCCAACAACAGTCTTGCGATCAATCAAATGGCTATGAGGTTCCTCGCAAGATCAATGACGTTGTTCGTGTTCAAACGTGAATTGAAACATAAAGATGACGCTGACATCATATTGCAGAATGTAACACGTATCACAACCAGAGTGCCTCTCAAATTCAGCACAACATCTCGATCAACACTCAGCCCATGGGGCGATTTCACAAAGCACGAAGGAATGTCAGAGGCAGTAAACGCACAACCAAGGGGTTTCTTCTAACGAAAGGCTTTCAAACACATAAAGCTTGAAAACGATGCCTATCGATTCGCATTCCTTCAACATCACACGAGAGACATCTCAGAATTATCTTATTGCCCACCAAGCCACACATAGCTGATCATCATCTCTATATCACTTCTTCATTCGATGGTACATAACATGAACTAGAGCATTGTTCAAGAGTTTTCATAATGATCAGAAACGATAAGGAATGCATTCATGCAAACACTGTGCGAAGCTCAAGGCAACCGTCAATAGTAGCTGCCATGCACACTACTGCATCACACTTGAAGAAGGACAGAGAAAGAACGAACAAGACCGTAATGAAAGCATGGTACAAACAATCATTGATCAGAATCACATCATGATGCATAGAAACTTCGGCCTCTCCTCCGCCTCCCCCATGCCCTCTTATGCTGCTGCTCACCATTTCCACGAGCGCTCTCCGGGGGGGCGCGTGCGGCTTCTCTTTTTTTACCAGTCCGTTACGTCGCCGTTGTCGTGTTAGTAAAATTCGTTACAACAACCGTTGGAAATCGTTGAAGATCCGTTAATTCTATGCCTTGCCTCCTGTTCCAGTCTGGAGACTACTACGAGGAGGGGTAGAATAGACGGAAAATATGGGGGTACTTGCACGGGATCTGAGGAGGGTGGTTGAAGTGAAAATGCGGTAGCCATGGCGGGAGTCTGCTGAGAGCGATTTGCGGGTATGTAAGAGCATCGTTGGATGTTTGAGAGGTTGACATGAACTCATATCCATGCAAGTAGCGTCTAAGAATGTTAATGACTTTCTCATTGCACGAGAAAGCAGAGATGTTTCATGGAGAGTCTTGTGTTAAGATGCATCTTCGTGGGTGTGCTGTGGCATGTAGTGGATGTTATGAAACCAGAGATGTGATATTTATGTCGACATGATAATGATGGAACACGATGCCTTGCTATCTTTGTTTTGGTTCATGCGATCCGTAGGATTTGATCGAATTTGACATCAGGAACATGATCATCTCAAGCCGCCCGTGTTTCATGCTGAGCTGAAGGATCGGAAGATGGATCCAACGATCGATGACTTTGTCGATGAAAGCTTTGAGGTCGACAGGTTCGTGGTCCAGTATCTGGGAGCTCAAGATGACAACGACGACAACCTGGTCGGTTCCTTGATAGGCGACGCCTCGCTGCTGGATGCCGAGGACTTGCTCATCAAGGTCGGCAAATGCTGCCAGCATGTGGATAGTCTGAGACAAGATGCTCGGCTGCGGCTGCAAGAAGCGTCCAAGAATGCTGACTCGCTGTATTGGACTCACACGAACAGGGTAAGGTCGTTGAAGGTCGAGTCGCAACTGGTTCTGGAGAGGGTGCAGAATCTTGAGTCGGAGATCTCCACGGTTGGCAGCAAGGCAGTGAATGTTGGGAGGAGACTGGACCAGGTGAACAGACAAAGACGAAGAGCCCAAGAAGCATCCAAGGCGATCAAGATATACGACAAACTCTGCGGGGAGGAGGAGGACGATGAAGTGCTGCAGATGCTGGTTCCCAGGCAGGGAAAGCAGGACCTGATGCACTCTGCTTTGATGATACGCAAGGTGGAAGCAGCTGTGAAGAGCAGCACGAGTGAAGGGCACGAGAGGGCTAAAGTAAAGCTTGAGGAGGCGAAGAAAAGATTCGAGCACTTCACGTTGCAGTGCTTTGATGACGCGAACGAGGTCTTCGAAGGGTCCAGAAATCCTTCAGCCCTGCACGAGATGAAACACAGTGCAGAAGCTCTGACATGGTTCAATGGTGGACAGACAATCGTGCAACATTACATAGCGACGCGAAAGTTCTTCATCGACCCAACCTACATCCTCCAAGACAGGGCAGAGATAGACCAGTTGGATTCTTTGAAGTCAGCTTCATCGATCTTGGATCGAATCGTGGATGAGTTGGTCGACTTTGCTGACCATGAGGTCACAGTGATCCCGCAGATCTTCCCCAACACTGAGAGGGTGATGATTGCTCTGGTACAACGAATGTGCCTTGAACGGTTACAACCGGCCATAGAGGGATTGCTGGACAACACGATGGAGCAGTTTGGGCTGCATGATTGGCTAGAGTTGTTAGAGAACGTCGTCTGCTCATGCCAGCGTCTTCATCACAGCCTAGGAACAGACAAGCACGAGACTGGGGAAGTCATGAGCCAGCAAGCCTTGGACGAGGTCAGAAACCTCATAGAAGACTCACTACTTCAGTATCGCGATGCTTTCCTTGCGCGGCAGCTGGAGGCGCTCCAGGTTGACCTGCAGCGTTACTTTCCTCAGTGGACGGACGAGCATGTCGGGATATTCCTCAACGACGAATCTTCCATGCAGCAAGGAAAGAGGGAAACTCCCCCTTCCACACAAGAGCCAGAAGCCATGGCGCTGTCGGACGTGGCGCTCAGGTCGGACATGCCCGATGGCATCGAACAGAAACGATCCATGCTCGTGCATACTGCCATGATCGACGATGCGCTATCAAGAGTGGGTCAAGCTGTCAAGCGATGTCTGAGGGTTCTGGAGGACGAGCGCAGACCGCAGGCTCTCCAGGCGCTGATAACCGCTCTGGTGGACAAGATGAATGAGTTTCTCTTCTCGGCTGTGCGGTACGCGTCATCCATGATCAAGCAGGAGCTGGCGGCCAACAAGGAGCCGTCGGTTGCGATCGTGTGCTACTTTGTCGTCTACTCCTCGAAGAAGCTCCAAGACTTCTCGGCAGCTGAGGTAGTCCCCTACTCCTCGTCCGACGTCCGAGCCCATGCAGCCATCACAGACGTACTCTCCAAGGCGATGACGTGGACTGAGAGCGCGACGTCTCATCTCGCGACTACATACGCCAAGAGCCTTCTCAGCTTCTTCGAGTCAACGTTGCAGAAACAACCGAAGACCGACTTCCTGCACGTCAAGAGCTCGGGGGAAGAGCTTGGGCATCTCCCTACCGATACATGCGTGACGTGCGTCAAAACCCTACGGGTAGCGAGAGACGCGTGGCTGTACAACGGGCCAACCCCTCTGCACGGCAAGAAGACGTCCTTCGACAAATACAAGAAGTTTGTCAGCTCAGCTGAGAGGTCCCTCGATGTCAACACGCTGAAACTCTTCTCCTCCATCGCAGATCGCCTCCATCAAACCTTCTCGCGCCACATCTGCCGCTTCACCTATTCGCAGGAGGGAGGTCTCCGCCTCCTCCAAGACCTCAAGCAGTATCAGCAGATCGTGGGAGATCTCTTCGCTCACGGGCACGCAAAGGAGATCGAGGAGCTCCGTGAGGCTGCCAACGTGCTCGTACTGTCCTTGCACAACGTGGAGCTGATGGTGAAGGAGAACGCATGGAGGGAGGAAGACAGAGATCGTATCATTGACATGATCATCATGAGATCTGACTGGTCTTCTCTTCGTCCGAAGGTGATCCAGAAGCTACGAGCCTTTCGGCCGGATCTCAAATGAGACATGTACATTGATAGCATTGCACTCCTCGCATCGTAAAACAGTACAAGTTCAACCCCCGGATACATCACACATATTAGAATTGTAGTCTAGACTCGAGCAAAGGGAGAAGACGGTACTGTGAAGTCATAACCGTCATCATAACTGTCATCAACGTCGCTGAGCTCTTGCAGATTGCCCTGTCAGAGCCTGTCACAACGAGACAAACCAACATCCTCGTCACAAACCGCATCGGCTGCTTGCTCTCGGACACCTCCTCTCCAACTTTTCCCCTCTTCTCTCCTGTAGCTTGCAGGTCAATGCTGCTATCACACTGAGATGAAAACACACCTGGCTCTCTTCACCTCCGTCCCACTCTCAGCCCATCCCCTTGGAGCTTCACCCTTTCCATATTCTGCCCGCGCGTTGTCATCGGACGGGAAGTCACGCGGTCTGAATTTCTCCAGCTCGGGATTTGCGCGTAGCAAGGACTTCATGAAGGACTGCCAGGAGTATGAGCAACTTCAACCTTGTCTTCGTGCTCACCGTCAGAGATTGAATCTTGCGATCTCGCTTGCTCGCCAACGCATGTCCCTGCCGCTCGAGGTACTCGCGCATCTGCTCTTCTCTTGCCTTCCTCTCCAGCTCAGCTTGCTTTCTTTGCGCCTTCTCCGCAAGTCTCGCTTTTGCCAGGGCCTGCCACCAAACTCAGCATCCTCAAGTCCTGAAATCTCCCTCAGACCTGTCGGAACGCCTTCTGGCGAGCAGCATCCTGCTTGAATGCATCGGCAAGGCGAGTCGTTTGCTTCTTATCCTCCGACAGAGCGATCTCCTCCAGCTTTGTGTGTTTCTGCTTCCCCAATTAGTTCGCTCAACACGAGAAGAGCAACCGCACCTGGAGAAGGGTTCTCACTTCCTGGTCAGCCCTAGAAAGCTCCTTTGCTGTCTTTTGAGCAGCTTCCTCAGACGAGAATCTCGCCTCTTCCGCAGATTTCTTGGCGCTTGAAGTAGTTTTCACTAGCTCTAATGAGGTCTTATACTTTTCTCCCACTGTCATTTTAGTCTTTTTCGCCTCGTTGAATTCCCCTGTGGCCTTGGCAGCCAAAGCTTCCATTGCTTTTGCGATCTTTTCCGCCTTGTCTGCTACAGCTTTCTTTTCTGAGACAATCTGAGAGTCTATTTCAAACTTCTCCTTGAGATGTCTCTTTAAATTGGCTGCTTCTGCTGCCTTCTGGGCGGCTTTGGCATACTCCTTGTATGTTTCTTCTTCAACTTTCTTAGCTTTCTCATTCTTTTCTGCTATCTCATTTCGCTTGGCCTGAACCTGTTCATCAAACAGCTTAGAGACTTTAGAAAGGGGTTGTAAAGAACAAACCTGACGGAGTTTGTAATCGACCAACTCTTGAGTCTCCCTTGCCCCAACAATGTTCGCCATGTTATCAGAGTCATCCACAAGTCTCGCCGTCAAGTCTGCATTAATAGAACCAACACAACAATACATGATCGCAATTATGATAAGAGCTCCGTGCATGGCCTTTAAGGCCATGGTTGAAGCAATTCAGGTGTACAGCTCAAGTGGCTTCCGATACCGAACAAGACCTCGCAGAGGCTCTTCTGCTGAAGTGAAGATAGGCTTGGGAAGTTTACAATCGAATTAAGCTCCTCTTCTCTCGTTATTCTCTTTCCTTGCTCGCTTCTGCTCCCTGTCCCTCCTTTCACCGTTGCGCCGACGTATGCATTGGCGCTGGAAATAGAGCGGTTGACTAATTCAATTAATCAGTTGGGGGATGAGGGGCAACGATGGAGATGAGGGGGATGAAGACTTGCACGAGCGGGGATGAGGGTATTGTGAACTCCCGCTCACGTCGTCCGCTGACCATGGTACTCCTGCTCCTGCTCCTGCTCCTGCTCCTGCTCCTGCTCCTGCTCCTGCTCCTGCTCCTGCTCCTGCTCCTGCTCCTGCTCCTGCTCCTGCTCCTGCTCCTGCTCCTGCTCCTCCTGCTCCTGCTCCTGCTCCTGCTTCTCCTCTCTTCCTCCTTATCATCGTCTTCCTCATTCATATTTTTCAAATCTTCCTTTTTGCTCTGCTCTCCTCTTCTTCTCCTGTCCTCGCTCGCCATTGATCTTCAATTTCTCTTGTGCTGGCGAATAATTTATTCCTCCTCTCTAGATCTCATCGCATTGTTCCTGAAGCGCATCCTCTTACTCTCTTCCTTCACCGCCAAACTTAGCGCAACGTGTGTGGTCAAGAACTTTTCGACAGCTGCGCTCCAAGCCCTGGTCTGATCTGAACAGGAGGTTTTGAAACATAGCAGGTGGCCTCACCATGTCAGTCCAAGAGCAGATTGTTGGCATAGGAGTTGTCCTCGAGCCGTCTGCTACTGGTAATCTTCAGGTCACCAAGCTTGTTCCTGGGGGGCCTGCCCAGATGCAGGGAGGAATGGCAGTCGGGGATGTGCTCATTGCAGTCGACGGGTCGGACGTGCGAGGAATGTCGCTGGACAAGGTTGCCCCGTTGATCAGAGGGAGCGTGGGGACTCAAGTCTCGCTCACCATCCTCAGGCCCGGGAGCTCTGAGAGCGTCTCCGTCACTCTCACCCGGCAGCCCACAGCCAAGCTGGTGGGCTTGTCTTCTGGGCGTGAGAGGATGCCGAAGGATGACGGGGCAGCGCATGGGGGATCGTTTGAAGAGACGATCCCTAAGCAGACCCTCGACAAGCTGAGGCAACTTCGCCTGACCATGGAGCAGGAGAGGATTGCTGTGGCCAAGGAGCGAGAGCAGTCGGCAAGGATGCAAGCGACGCTCGAAGACCAAGTGGAGAAGTTGGAGAGTCGATGCAAGCAGCTGCTGCAAGCCCTTGAAGACCTGAGTGAGGGAAAGACAACTCACATTGACTGCGGTCATCGATACCTCGTTCCATGGTGCTCCAAGTGTAATGCTTGAGCCCTCGATAGGCCTTCCTCGACAACTACAGTTCGCTCTGACTTACCAAGGTTGTAAGATTTTGATGTTATCAGTCACAGACATGTCTCTCAAACAAGTTCATAGATTGTTATGTATCTTGTATGATCCTCTCAGGCCAATATGATTACAAAGTAGGATCTGAACACTTTTGATGTAATCCAAAATATGTGATGTAATCGACAAGACACAGTCCGTTTCTCATTCCTTCTTCTCGCCTCTTCACTCGCAGCACTCATGCATTCATACTGCAAATCTCAAAACAAAGAACTGGGCTCAGCGGCAAGGACAACTCTTGATAAAGCCGCTTCGCATTCAAGCGAAATTGGAAATCAAGTAGGGAAAAACTTTATGCCGGCAGCGAGATACAAGAATGAAACAAACGACATGCGGCAAGAGATACAAGTACAGAGATCAAAGTTTGCTAGCGCTGTCATGACTCAATGTAGGTGATGCTATCAGCATCGGTGATGTAGGATACCGAAGCCATGATGTGCTCGTAGGCAGCCTCTTTCGTCCTGAACGTTACCGTCAGCAATGACTTGAGAATGCACAGAAGCTTTTCACTCACTCAAACTCAGCAGCCCCACTGTCTTTCGGATATCCTTTCTTCGCATCTGTTCCCAGCTGCTCATACGCGACTTTCCTTCCTTTGTAGACGGTTGCTGTAGTGGGGACGGCGACGTAGATGGGGTCGAAGCAATCCTCGTAAGTCTTGCCCTTGTGCTTCCCCTCCACGTGGTTCATCAGATCCTGCTCATTCTGAGTGCACATGAACGCCTGCTTGCAGATCTTGCATTTGATCGACATGGCCTTAGCATTGTTCCCGAGCTGCGAGCTGGACAAACAGTAAGCAACATGGCATGGAGGCACTCCCAGACAGGTCAAGGAGATGGGGAAGAAGAGGGAAGGTGCAGCAGGAGCATGCAAGCTCAAACTTACGCTCCTCCTTGCGCTGCTCGTAGCTTCGCTTGGTTACGCTCACGCGAGATCGCCGTCTTCTGCGCATTGCCGCCACCCATTGTTCGCTGTTCTTCGCACGAGGGGAACGGACAGGGCCACCCGTCAACTTAGCCCATTTTGTGTGGTAAGAGGGTAGGTGGGGGTATATGTATGGCCCCCCCAGAGTACCAGCAATAAAATTGAGTAAACGTATGTTGTCTAGTCGTTCTACATGGATACACTGACGTCATCTGTTCCTCTAAACCATCGTAGTGACTTGAACTTGGCCGTCTGCGCCTCCAAGCTCAAGCTTCTCCCACCTCCTCCGCTCGCCCTCACTCCTGCCCCTGCCCCTGCCCCTGCCCTCTCCTCTGCGGTTTCAGTCTGTCCCTCCCCGTCTACGTCTTAACTCGAACAGCCTCTCACCCTCGACTAATCACACTCGTCGAAGCTCGTGAGTCGATCAAGCTCGTCCCTTCGCGTTCTAGAGCTCAGTTGGAGTTCACGCTGGTTGTAGCCCCGGAGCAGCCAAGTAAGTCGAGTCTTCTGACTGCCATCGGCTGCATGCGGACGAGGACAAGGGAGAGCTGATGGAAGTGTCACAGGATGCTTTCCTAATCATACTAGACAACAACCAGCGTTAGCTTGCTCGAGTATTCTCACTGCCCTGGAGGAGGGAAGATGTTGAGCACGTCAGTCTGAACCGGGAACGGTCTTGAGGGAGGAGGAGAGATTCCGACGGCAGAGCTGGTAGGTTGAGCGAAGGCTGAGTTGACTAGGTACTGCTGGACTGAGAGAGAAGGGAGTCTGAGCGACGGAGACGGTTGCATCAGATTTGATGTCCCCAGGAGAGGCTGAACGTGAGATCCTTCCGGTAGACCAGCGAGCTGTTGCTGGATGTTGACTACCTGCTGATGGTGCTGCTGCTGCTGCTGCTGCTGCTGATGGTGCTGCTGCTGCTGCTGCTGCTGCTGAAGTTGTAACAACATCTGCTGTCGTTGAAGCTGCTGCTGCTGCTGCTGCTGCTGCTGCTGCTGCTGGAGTTGCTGCTGCTGGAGTTGCTGCTGATGCTGCTGCTGCTGCTGCTGAAGTTGCTGCTGCTGAAGTTGCTGCTGCTGCTGCTGCTGCTGCTGCTGCTGGAGTTGCTGCTGCTGATGGTGCTGCTGCTGCTGCTGATGGTGCTGCTGCTGCTGCTGATGGTGCTGCTGCTGCTGCTGCTGCTGCTGCTGCTGCTGTTCAAGGTGCGCTGGTAACTGCTGAATTGACTGTTGCTGCTGAGGTGGCTGTTGCTGCTGCTTCATCAAGTACCTATATTGAGCTGACGGGGTTGAGTCGTTTTGGAGGGCGGTCTGAGTTTGTTGTGAAGCTCGATGCGCAAGCAACACATTCTGATCCTGCATGGCGGCGGTTGGAAGTGCATGAGAGGATATTGATGACGAGTTGGTGTGCATAAGAGCAGTTGGTTCTTGATCAATTAACTTGCCTTGAATCAGCTGTGAAGTGGTGGCCATTGCCGTTGTCTGTGAGATGGGCAGGCTATCCACTCTCTGCCGCTTTCCCTCCATGCTCGCCTCCTCGAAAGGTCGTTGGTGTGAAATTATCGTCGATGCCAGAGCGGAACTTGTTCGAACTTGAAATGCTTGTGAAGCTGCTGAAGCTGCGTGGTTGTTCATTTCTGCTTCAGCTTTGGAGATTTTCTCCAAATATGCTTCCAGTCCGTTAATCAGTTTGTCATCCCACATCTCACAGAGCCTCTCGTCCGGCAGCAGCTCAGCAGCTTGTATGCCTGCTTCAGGGAGCTGCAAGATTTGACAGTTTCGCAGGTCAACGATATCCTGCTTGTGGCCCTTGATCACCATCTGCAAGAACTCGACGGGGGACTGAGACAAGGCCTACACTAGTTGTCATTCTTGACGGAAATACAACACCAACCTCCCCAAACCTGCATGAAATCCCTTTTCCGCTTGGCTTGGGCCATCTGAAACCCTCATCAGACACAAGAATCTCAAAGTACGAAAGACCTTGGTGAAGATTTCCTGTATAGAAGCATCCAGTGCGTTGATCTCGTCGTTGAAATTGAGCAGCTTTGATGACAACCCTCCGACACGCACCGACACATCCATGGCAGTGGAATGCAACTGCTTGCCCGACAGTCTAACGCGATGGGACATCTTGACAGGAGGATGTCCAACAGGAACCAGCCAGCGTTCGATCAACGAAGAGATTTCAGTGAACTTGATGGATTCTTGTCGAAAGATCGTCCTCAGCTCTTCCTCGAATCTGATCTTGGTGATGTCGTCTGGATCATGCAGTTTCCTTGATTTAACATAACTAATGAAATGTCAGTACAACAGAGGAGTGAAGAAAGCGAAAGATCTTACTTCCAAAATGCCCGTACAAACTCCTGCTTGCTGCCGGTCTGGATTCCAAAAAAATCTGTCAAGGAATCGTCTGAAAATCTGAACAGACTGGTTGTCCGTCTACAAAAAGCAATTAGGTTCAGAAGATCAGACTTGTTACAACCTCAGAAAGATTCGGACTTGAACTTCAATTTCTCTATCACAGGCAAAACCGGACCGGGTTAGCTCGACAACGTTCCCTGACTGGGTGTCGTCGTTTGCATTCCAAACATATTTAGAATCTTTGCCGAAAACATTGTCTGGAAGTTCTATCTCAATCTGAGGAATCGAAATAGAGATCAAAGATTCAGCAAAGATCGAAACATCAAAGGAATCAAACCTTTTCCAAGTAGTCACGCAGCGAAAACTGACCAGATTTTCTCCGAGGATTTTGCCCACCACATACAGGCTCCATGCCGGAGGACCGAGCGACCCCGACGAGCCTGATGGGTCGTCGGCAGATCCAGGCTGCCCTGACTGATTCGTATACGTATTGCAAATGCATATCCGGGCAATGCGGCGCAAAGAAGTCTTACTTGTGTTGGACCATTCTCGTAACTTTTGGATCCTAGATTGCTCCAAGGTAGTTTCCATGGATACCAGTTTGTTGTATATCTTGCACTCTGGCACGATGGACAACCATGATAGGGGAAGTCTCCTTGCCGATTTTCTGTCAACTCCAGCAATGCTGGGCCTCACAGTCCTCTCATCTTTTTCGACCGAGTTCTGTCGATGCATGCTCGTACTCCCTTGCACCCCCTGCAGGTACCTGTTGTTGTGAGGTGTGTTCGACGAGCTCTGAGCACCTGGCGTATTGTTGACTGGGTGCTGTTTCTGCAAGCCAACAGATGGAGAGTATCTCGGAGCATTGGCTGGTGGTCGTGAAATCTGTGTCGGAGTTCGCATCTGTGACGATACGACGGGCGAAGGAACAGCAGCGGGGTACGATATCCGTACTGATGGGGAAGACATCGGAACTATCGCGGCAATATAGTGAGTCACAGAACAATGCATTCGGCATTGCAAGCACCTTGTGGAGTCATGGTTGAGGGAGATTGCATGTTCGCCAGACTGTCTCGGCTAATCGTTCCAATCACGTTACTGTTGCTTGGAGCACCGTTCCATTGGCGGGCATACGGACTGTTCGATCCAATATGCTGCATAAATGGTTGAGCAAGCTGCCTGCCAATCATGTGGTTAGTAAGATCATACCATTCAAACACATCCCTTGGATGATCTAGTGTACTGTGCTCTCTCTCAATTTCGAGGCATGCAATGAATGTTTTAGCTAGAATCTTTTCTCACGTATTCCAGTTTTTCAAGATGAAAATGAACTTTAGTCATTGATGAGCATTGATCAGATCATGTTATTCAGGCAGAAAGGGCTGGTTCGAATAAAATCTGAGATGCTCTTGACTGAAATTTCGAACTGCACTGCGATTTTACACATATCCGGACATATCCGAGCTCCAGTTTTCTCTGCCATGGCTTTTCATTCGCACCATCTATCTGTGCACGAGTTCAAGGAGCCTGGTTCTCTGAAAGCTCGTGCACGTTTCAACGAACACGTACAAAGATTTTCAAACTAGAGATGTCTTGGCAAGGTATGTACTCCCCTCTCCCCTCAATCTCTGCTCCCTACACTTCCCCTGCACTGCTGCTACATGTCTCTCGCTTCCTTGCTGCCTGACATCTCCTCCACTCTGCTTCTTCTGCCTCCATCGCCGCCTTTCACCAGCATTGTGCAGGCAGTGTGAGCGGCAGGAGGCGGCGGGAAATGCTTTAAAAAAAAAGCGTAAAATGAAAAATAAAAATCATAACCTAGGAGACTCGGGAAGCCGAGGCGCCGCCGTACGCCCGGCGCCGGTCGGATCGGACGGTCCCGAGTACGGTCCCCGGCGGCGAACTTCCGAACTGAGTCCACATGCGGCAGTGACGCTCACGCGGCACTGAGTGACACGGCGGCGCGGCAGTGAGGCTTACTACTTACAAGTTCACCTGGGCCCGGTCAGTTATACACTGAGTCACTTAGGCGATACCGCATCCCCCTTCATCTTGAAGGACTCTCAGAACTCCAGGCTACCATCGCGTACATGCTCGAACACGACATCATCGAACCATCCAATCATTAGTGAGTTTGCCTTTCCTGTGCTTTTCAGTCGACGTCCCAACGATCCACGCTCCCCAACTGATCCCAACTTTCAAGCTACCGCTTTTGCTCAGTGCGACCTTCGCCGCTTGAACCAAGTCGTCGGTCACTGTGTCACCGGGGGCTCACTGGCAGGCTGCCGCAGTGCGGCTCATAGTCCGACGGACCGAGGGTGACCGCCCCCGACTCAGACGGTACGGTCCGACCGTCGTGACGGTGGTCATGGTCACGGTGACTCGGTCAGCATCGGACGTGGCGGGAGTCCGCACCGTGGCACCCCGTTCCAGTGACCGGCCCGGCCCGGGTGCCCGGCGCCCCGGGCCCGGGCCGCCACTGGCAGTGGCCAGGGATCGGACACGGGCCGGCGCGTCCGACGGTCACTACTGCCTTCTTTACCGTGCTAAGTTACTCAAAGTCACAGGCTCAGGCCGCAAAAGTTAACGGCCTCTATATACATCAGAGTTATAAATTCAAACTCTGCTCAGTTACTTTTTTATAGCCTGTCACGGTCGCCGCCGCCGGGCAATTGGCAAAAAAGGATTCACCACTAGCAATGATGATACCGTTCACGGTTCACTGTCAGACTCTTGTTTTTTTTTTTTCTTTCTTTCTTTCTTTCTTTCTTTCTTTCTTTCTATTTCGAAAAGGATCTTTCCTGCCATGCTGCCTTACGGGGGGTCACCGCACAACATGGTGAAGAGGAGGAGGAGGAGGAGGAGGAGGAGGAGGAGGAGGAGGAGGAAGCTGGGGTCTGGGGGAGGACCGAGGGCTGGTAATGGGACGAGGGTTGGGGGAGGGGGAGGGGGTGGCAGGGGTAATATGTGCGTGAAGGATGTTGATCCGATATCACGTGGGGACTGGGGTCAGACAAGGAGGAGAAAGATGCATCGAACAAGGGACGATAGGTGAAAGGAGCAGGAGCAGGAGCAGAATCAAGTGTGCAGGATCGCTACAATCGAGCAGGAGATGGATAGGGTTGGGAGGAGGAGGAGGGAGAAGGTGCGAATCGAGACGAGGAGATACTCGGTGAGAGCGTGCGATGTTAGTGGAGTGGACGGAGGACGAGTCAGAGGGGATTCAAGGAGAGGGAGATCTTTCAAGATAGATGTCTCTCTCTTGTACATTCCAATATTTCCTTGTTCTGAGCACGTTCACGATTCGCAGCAGCCCTCCTACAATGGAATGCCGTTTGTAAGCAGTGCCCCGTCTACACCTCCATATTACGTCCAGACGGGTTCTTTTAGATCCCAGGTACATCAGTGTTGCCGTCCCCTGCTCTGGCTTCTTGAACAAACTTCCTCTTGCTCTCACTTACTCCTGCTGATCTCGTCTGTCTTGTGCGATCGGTACAGACATGTGCTGACGTGAAATCGACCAGATGGGTTCAACCAGCTACGCTGAGATGTTGCAGCAGCAGCAGCAGCAGCAGCAGCAGCAGCAGCAGCATTCTATCCACACCAACTACCCGCGCATGGCGAGCGTGCCGGTGTTCTCTCATGCACAGGTTGAAAGTTCATAGATGAAGGTTTCGTTCTGGACTGAGGCCCCTCCAGTATATCACCCACGTGTCTGAACCACCCAACGGTTACTCGTTTCTCAGCTTCCAATCAGCGGAGGAATGTGAGAGTGGAGAGAGGAGGGCAGTCTGAAGTGATGTCATCCGTTCTGACCCTGACCGATCAGCGTCTGTTGTCGACAACTTCAGTCCAAGGTATCAATTTCCATTGAGAGAGGTATCAAGTTATGAAGGTGACTTGAAACGGAACTTGTCTGAGGGCTGAAAACTCTGACAGACTCTTTCCTTGTGCTGGCTGAGGTAATGAGTGCGTTAACGGAGCCAAGCGGCAAACCTGTAGATATTCTCGACGAGGTGCTCTGTCAACTGCGAGACTTGGCGTTCTAATCCGATCTCCTTCCTCCTGCTCCTGCTCCTGCTCCTGCTCCTGCTCATCATTCTCTAACCCCCCTCTGCTGTTCCTGCCTCTCCTTCTCGATCCTGTCTTCCCATCCCTCCTCCCCCTGCTTCTGTTTCTCTTCTTCCTTCTCCTCCTCCTCCTCCTCCTTCTCCTCCTCCTCCTCCTCCTCCTCCTCCTCCTCCTCCTCCTCCTGTTCCCTCCAGGCCAGGCACTTCGAGGGCGAGCTCTTGCCAGCGTCTCGCTCTGCCTCCTTGGACGTGTCTGCCTCTCCCAATCTGTCCCTCTCTTCCAGGTTTGCTTCTAGCACCATGTGATCAAAGACTGAGGATGCGGGGGGCTAGCGGGGCAAGCGCGAAGGCTCTGGGATCTACATTAGGGATCTGTTTAGAAGTTGGTGGGTCTTGCCCCCGTCGGATTCAGTCCCTGGTCCCTGGCGGTCCCGCACAGACAAGTGGGCTGGTGAGTTTGATGCCGGCGGTTGTTGTGTTTGTTGCTACTGCTGCTGCTGTTGATGTTGTCATTGTTGTTGTTGTTGATGATGATGATTTGAAGGAGGGTAAGGAGGAGGAGAAGGATCATGTGGAGGAGGGCGGGGAAGAAGAGGACACTGGCCTATCATGTTATGGATTCGGATTGAGACTGCTTGAGGGGTTGATTTTGATTCTGATTGAGATTGCACAACTTGGACGAGAGTCGTCGCAGTGACTGTGTTGGTGTTGTCATGCAGTTGCAAGCTGGGGATGAAATAGTCTCAGTCGACGGAATCGAGGTTTCAGATACCAGCGGTGGGATCGAACTTGTTCTTGAGACCACGTGTGAACTTGTGGCAGTGATGGAAGTGTTGAGAAAACCATCTCCCATCGCCTCCAAGTGTCGGATATGCGGTACTCTCTGTCGCTCCCCGGCGGCCTCGACTGAGCATGCGCAAGTTAACCGGAGAGGCAAGAAGCTCGACGTCACTCTCCACAGAGCGCACTTTGGGGTAAAAGGGCGAGGGAAGAGGGAGGAGGGAAAGAGGAAGGAGGGGAGGGGAGGGAGGAAGGAGGAGGGAGGGGAGTGAAATCTGGATGCAGATGGTGAGGGGAGTCAGGAAGCTCTTGGAGATGGTCGACATGCTCGAGACGAACTTGAGACTGCACGTGAGAGGAGATGAGCGAGAATACCTCTTGACTGCCTGGCAGGGAGCGCACAAGATCGTCGGATCCTCGCTGGCTGCGATCAGAAGTCAGGTTGTCACGTCCTCTTCCTCGCGGCATCGGCGGATTTCTGATGGGAGGAGCGACATGGCAGATACTGGAGATGGAGAAACAGCGGTCCTCTCGTGACGTGTCGATCATGCAGACATTCAAAGCGAAACGAGTGAGGGAGGTGGGAGAGACAGCAGCAGCGTGCTTGACTTGCGCCAGATGTTCATTGCGGAAGGGATTCAGATGCTGCAGCAGTGGATGCTGTCGGAGAAACTTACAAGAGAAGAGAGGTTGAGTTTGACCCAAGTGATGGACATGTGCGACTGAAAGATGTCACGCAGTATGTCTAAGAGTGCATCTCAACATCTCGAGGATTCAGAGGTGTTGGCCCTTGAAGGTGTTCAGATTGAGACTTGTTGGCAGAGCTTGTTGATGGTGGAGGAGGAGAACTCCTGTTTGAAGTCGGACCTGATTGTGAGATGATTGAAACTTTAATTGTTCTTCTCCTTCTCACGAGATTGAGCAGAAGGCAAGATTGTACATCGAAGAGTTGGAGGTAAAGAGCTGTTCAGGCATCTTCATGACCGTCTCACCTGTTAATTTTCCTCTGATCGTCGTCTTCTTGTCATTACCTTCTCCCCTCCTTTGTTTCCCCTCCGGCCGTTAGTCGGAAAGATCGCAGGCGAACGATCGCATGAAGGTAATGTTTGAGCATGTGGCGAGAGAGAGAGA